ACTCTCCACGACATAAGAAAACCACTACACTCCGAGCCATTGCACGGGTTGCTCGCGTGGCAGTTGGACGTAAGTGCGTGCAAGGGGCAAGGTGGTGGGGGGATGGAGTGGCGAGTACGGAATGGGGTGAGGTGAGGAAGGTGGGAGTTAGTATCGAGTGACCCCCTTCTCCCATCCTCACTCCCTTGCGCGTACTCAGTCGGATCTGAGCCCATGCAGGGGAAGGAGGCATATGGATTGAATCGGGCAAACTGGGTACAGTAAGGGGATGCGTAGCGTACGCTTGAATAGGAGCAGGCGGCAAGAGAGAAGGAAACAACCGCTAGCAAAACTTCAAGGTAATCCATGTTACGTTGTTTGGATTTTGAATCGCTCTCGCTATCTAAGCCTACCACTTTGATAGACTCTGTGCTATTGCAGGAGCTGATCGCTTGGGAGCTGGACGTGAGCACGAGAACAGTGGCGGCGTAGTGTCCTATGTTGCACCAGCTGCTCACGTGGCGGCTGCATACCACGTGCGGGAGTGGGCGACGGTTAAATAGGGTCAGTGGGATATGATGTGGTGAAGGGGTACCAGATGAGGCGATTTCGCGAATAGGAGCACATAGCGCCTGCGGCGGTAAGGCGTCTACGGTTGCGATAAGATGAGAAGAAAATGGATCGACCGCAATCGGAACTGAACCGATTAATGTTGCATTATCAAATTGTGGTAGCGTTTTGATAGTCATGACACCCTCCACAACCAACCATTTAGTGCACTCAGAACCATTGCACGGGCTATTCGTGTAGCAGCTGAGCGTGACCTGTAGGGTGGCTGAGCGGGGAATAGCTGAGGTTAGTTTGGGGATAGGTGAGTTGAAGGGGTACCATATTGGCGCGACCGACGCTCGCCTGAACAGGAGCACGCAGCGACTGCGGAGACCGAAGCATCCATGGCTGTCATGAGATGGGGAGGAGAGTAATCGATTATCCATGACCAGATTTTGAACTTTTCATTATGAAAGTGCCCTGCGATCATATGGCGCGTTTCTACATTTATTTGATTAGAAGACAGCGGTTAGTCATGAGAGCATCATAAATGCCTAAGACAGTAGTATCGCCCTGCTTATGCCTTACTTTGCTCCTTTCTTTCACGAGTTAAGAAGTGAGGCTCAAGCAGTTGCATGAGCCCGGCGAAGCCGGGCTTCCAAGAAGGAGGAGAGCTCGGCGTTAGCCGGGCGATCCGACTGGTCATTCTATAAAGCAGAAACTTTGTGTGTCGGTTTGTCGGTATGTGTATGTATGTCGGTTTGTATGTCTGTCCGTCCGCAAAATGCTTTACGGGATTAAACACGTTAGTGAAAGAAGAAAACGACCGCTAGCCAAACCGGGAACCCATCGGTGCAGATGTATCAATCCAATGTTTTGATTGTGATAACAGCATATATAAGACAACCACTCGGTACACTCCGAGCCATTGCACGAGCTGCTGCCGTGGCAGCTGGACGTGTGCTCGTGCGGGGGCAGGGTGGGGGTGCCAGGTCGCCCTGCCTCCTCCTGCATGTGCTCAGCCGGAGCTGAGCACATGTATTGGAGGGAGGCAGAGGGAAGGGGTCGCGGGGAGGGGGGTACAGTGAGGGGTGCGTAGCGCGCGTTTCAGTAGAAACGCACACCAATGGATGAGGAAACAACCGCTAACAAAACTGTAAGCCAATCTATGTTACCGTAACGAAAGAAGTTGTTAACTAAGGGGTGGAGTGGCGAGT